ACACATTGCAGCTTTGGAAGCCTGCTGTGCTGATGGACAGGGAGTGAGGCACGCAGATGGGAGCGACAGAATGGCACGGAGGTGGCAACCACACCATGAGGGCTTTCCCGCCACCTCCAGAAGGTTCAGATGCCAAGGTCGTAAACCCTAAATAGTAGCTTCCAGTTTCTTTTCCATTATCCGTATATAGCCCCAATATACTACAGTAGCTTCCATTCTCTCTTCCATTATCCCTATACTACCCCAATATACTATTGTAGCCTCCATTCTGTTTTCCATTATCCGAGTGTTACCCCAACATACTATAGTCCCTAAACCCTAAACCCTAAACCCTAAGACCTAAACCCAAAACCCTAAATAGAGACTCCCGCACAAAGAACAAAAAATAGTAGCTCCAAAGGTGTTGGGCAGCAAGATCGATGGGGCCGTGTACCACCCGACTGGGGAAGTGTCCTTTTGGGACCAGCCCGGGCCCGAGTGGAAGTCTGTATATCGAAATAATGGGTTATACAGGGTTTAGGATATAGGGTATATTGGGGTAATGGGAGTTATATAGAGTCTGCTTTGGGACTATATTGGGTTTAGGGTTTAGGGATAATGGAAAAGAGGATGGAAACTATCATAGTATATTGGCGTCACATAGGGATAATGGCCAAGAAAATGGAATCTAAAATAGTATATTGGGAAAATATAGGGATAATGGAAAAGAAGATGGAAGCTACTGTTCAGGGTTTAGGGCCTTGGCATTAATTTTTTGCCGAGCGGAACCCAATGTTTGTCCGCTTCCATGCATGTGAAGAGTTTATGGCTAAGATGCTTGTGAGCGTTGGAGGCGCGTTCTTGCAGTTCATGGTGTGCGGGTGGTGCAAGACAGAGACCCCAGTCGTGCTTTGCAAGGTTGGAGGGCGTGTACCTCCGAGAACAAGATGGGAAATACATGGACCCTGCCTCAGTTGATGGGAAAGCCTGACTCACTGGGGGCTGGATGTGACTGTTAGTGATGTCCGGAAGACGATGAGGCGCCAGGCCTTAAAGCTCCTGCAAGTCTGGGCTGCAGCGGCCTACCCTGCACAGCCCAAACACGTTGTTGATCGCATTCAGACTCTGCCCTGCTCCAAAAGATTGCCGTGGGAAGCCGCTAAGTGAGTAAGTGTCTTTGCTACTACTCTGTCAAGATTGTCAATCTGTGACCCCTGTGTTGTCTGTTCACTGCCCGTAGGCTGTCCGCATTGCCTGAGGCGACCATCAGGTCCAACCAGGTGCTTTGGGCTGAGGAATTCAGCTCCGATCCCTCTGAGCTCTCGATCACCGGCGCCCGGGAGGTTCAGGGGTTGGTCAAGAGAGTCATTCATGGATGCTACTTTGAGCATTCATATCTCTCTCATTTCGATGATGGCTGCTGCTGCTATTGATGTTGCTGGCTACTTACGTGTCTCTCTCCCGCGGTAGGGCACCTTTTTGGCTTCTGCAGGGATGAGAAGATGTTGATGCTCTTCATTTAAACTCGTAGGTTACCAGTGTCAGTACTCTCCAGACTCCGAGGTCCGCCGTCTATTTTTTTGACTTTGAAATCCTTCTTAAGAAGGGTTGTTCTGAAAGTGTGTAACCCAAGCGGCCAAGTGCCGCTCTCTCGCTTGGAAGGTGGAGAGGCAAACAAAAAGAAGTTTGGGATTGAAAACCGCACTTCACTTTGACTGAAGCAAAAAGCACACATCTTTCGGGATGCTATCGTCTGGCTTTGCGAAATGCACGTGACATGTGTAGGGAGTTGCCAACCCTTAGGTTCTTACCCGAACCCTCGCTTGGAACCTCAAAACGCTGAGCGACTGCTGCCAGGTCTCCCTCAGCCTAGGCGGCAAGATCTACACTGCGGAGATCTCACCCAGTCTGGGGACGTTCCTGGGGCATTTTTTTCCTGACTTATCAACTTTTTGCTGTATGAAGAGGGAATGTCTGGGATGCAAATGCCGGGCCACTTTCAGTCAAGGTTGCTCTGGGACGACGGGGAGGTTTGGACGAAGCAGCAGCCAATGGCTTGAAGTCTTAAAGGTCTTCACTGCTGCACCTGGTTTTTCAAGGTCATTGTAGGCCTTACTTTGGCTCTTGCTGCCGATGGTATGATGATATACTGGGTTTTCCTGCAGTACTCTTAACACACTTATTTTGGCCTTTGCTGGCAGCAGAGACGCCGCTGCTGCTTGTGGACGTATCTGTTTCGCGAGGTGGTAATTAAGTTGGTCGAGGGCATTCTCTCCCAACCCGCGACTGCACGGCTGCAACAGTTAACGTATGCCATGGGTTTCAATCCTGGCCCTTTGGCCGGAGGTATGTTATGTTGGATACACTAAGAGATTTTGGGTGGAGATCTCCAAGGCAAACCTCCGGAGTATAGGGACCCTTAAAGGCAGGGGCCCTGCAGTATGGAAGGAGCTACGGCTCACGATGAACATAGTTACTTTCAACAGTTGTCTTGTGGAGGCCGGCAGATATCAAACATATTTACGAACATCGCAGCACACCTGACAACCAGATGTTGTCATTCTTGGAGAAAACTCTTCACGCTCGGCACGCACTGGTAAGCTGGCTTGTGCTCGAAGCGTAGACCAGGCCTTTCGCCGCTTGCGTTTCATATGCCGTAAACTTTCAAGATCCCTCCTTGGCGTCCTGCAGATTCAGCAGGCTTTTGGCTTGATGGCCTGGCCAAATGCAGGCTCCCAGCCCTTTGGGCCACTTGAGTGATCTTGGCAGACATTACATTCTCAGGACCCAGACGAGGCTGAGCCAAAATGTTGGATCAGTTAGTGATAAATGATGTCCCCCACCCTCCAAACGACAAGCCATCTGGGATTGCTACAACCCTGTTCTTAGGTTTGCTGCCCGGACCCGCAGAAGCCTCAAAAGCCACCACAACCTTTCGAGTCACTTCAAATTTACGGTACGTTTTGAATCCAGGTTCCCCCAAGAACGTTGGAACCCATACTACTTCCAAATCATTTCTGCAGTGATTTCCGAAAACTTGGCCTCCTAACTGACTGTCGTTAAGGGGCTTAGTAAGAGGTGAATTGGCTACTCGACATGGGCTTGCTGTTGCCATGCATTTTTTGACTTGCTTGCCTTCTCTTGGCCCCAGCTCTTCGGTGGGAGACATGTACTTGAAGCCTTTTTGATGAGGCTTCAGCCTGCAGAACTGGTCAGATGAATTCAGTGCTTGATTCAGGGCTTCAGGCTAAGTCTCTCTCCCTCTCTCTGGCTCGCTTTTTTTTTCCCGCGCCGGCTCCTCCGCAGGCCGCAGCCGAAGAGATGAAGTCAAATGACCTAAAACCCTCAACTCCCCGAGCTCACACAGCGAGAACCCATCATGGCCAAATGCAGAACGCCCGCACCAACACACTGCTGCACCTTCACACTTCGCAGCCAAGTGTTTGAACCTTTGCTTCGAACGCTAAAGCCGTAATTCCACTGCCAACAGCCATCGGCGCCCAAACCCCAAGCCTTCTGCAAAAGCTCCCAGCCCCAGAACCCAGTACAATTGGTAGTAAGATTGTTGAATCAAAGACCCGCCGTATCAAACCAAGGAGCAGATTTGCTGCACTTGCGACCCAAGCTAAGCCAAGCTCAGCCTCAGACCTTCCGTATGGCGGGCCAGCAAGCCTTTGTGTGAGAGCCATGGCGCGAATTGCACGCCGCGCGCTACGCATTAAGGACCCGGCAGTCGGGTTCATAATTTTCTGGGTGTATGTGGGCGGACAGGGCAGAACACATACAGCACGATCAGGGCAGAGGCCTTACAAGGAATTCTGCTGTGATGTATTATGCCAAGCCTTTCTAGCTGGCCGTGCGATGATGCTGATTTGCTTGGATTTTGGGTTGCCTTCCAAGCCTTTAAACCCGAAGCAACAGCAAGATCCTTGTAAGTCACTGGATGGTTTTGGTACAGGTATGGGATTTATTGACGTTGACCCTGGATCTGCAATTCAAGCTGCTTGGATCATAAGGTGAAATGCAGCGAACACAGTCAAGGAAACGTTTGACCACATCTCTTGCCAGAGCGACATTGGTTCAGACCTTGGCTCAGCTAGGTTGAGTTGTTTTCTGCTGTCGTGAGCCCTGATAGCTGAGCAGACATCGGTGATTTGTCCTAGCTGTTGCCTACAAGAACTGCCGCATGGCAGCTCCCGTATCCTTGCTTACCTGCTTGGTTTGCAGGGCATCATAAGAGGTCCTTATAGCGGTCCTTATCTATTCCCCAATAACGTCGTAGTTTCCATTTCCTTCCTTCCTTGCTTGCCCGCTAACCAAAGGTAAGCTGGTTCGTGATAAGCAGTATTGTTCTGTCTTTGCACGTGGAATGTTTGCAGCTCAGCTCACCAGCATGTTTGGTGTTCACATTGAGCCAAGAAGTGTCAGAAGCCTTGCAGCCACAGGAGCTCCCGCTCTTCAGCCTGCGGCAACCCTTCCCAGAAATTGCGGAGCACTCTGGAGCACCCGGATTGCAGGCAGAAAGTTTTCGGTGTGGTGCACAAGGACCTCAGCTATCTTGGCTTAGGCCCCCTTCAGTACTAGTAGCACGGGATTTCGAAATGAGCTGGAGCCAACCTGAACTTATGACACCTGCAAACTGAAGGCTCGCTCTACGCTCCGCATGTAATTTGTCAGGGTCAGGGGGCATGCACATTTTCAGGGCCATGTTGCGGTTCCAACCTCTCTTAAGAAATCATTTGAGCCGTATGTGCGTATGATTGGCACTGATTGCATGGACCCGGCTCGGCTAACTTAGGAGCTACCTTTGAACCTCTTCGAGGACCGCTATGCTACTTAGCTGCTGCGTTTTGCAGACCTTTTTTGCCACATGCTGGCGACATTTATTGCATCCCATGCCTGTACTGCCTTTCATGTTAGGTGGTAGGCCAAGGAGCGCCAATTGCGGTAGGCAGTGGCCTGCCAACTCTTTGCCCCTCCACCAGTCAGAAATTGTAGGCACTGCCCTGCAAACCCACAAGGTTGAGCTGGCACGACGAGTCGAATCTGGAAAGGTTCCACACTTCGGCTACACGGAGGTGGCGCAAAGACGTGTGGGCGGGCGAGGCCGCTCTAGTTGAGATGCCAGAGGTGTAGTTGCAAAAAAGGCTTGACGGAGCAATGGGGTTCAGTTATCAACCCCAAGCCCCCCAATGCTGATCCTGGGGTCAGGTCGTTTGGTTAGGATTCTCAAAAGCCGGAGGCGTTCTCCTCGACGCCGGCAATTTCAAGTGGCTGGGCTCCCGCAAATCTGGGCCCGTAATACTAAATGCGCGAGGATTTTGCCGTGCCTTGGCAGGTCGAGCACTGGAGGGGGTTTCGCCTTCTTGGGGGGTCGAGGGTCTTCAGATTCTGGGGTAAGGTAGGTTAATCATGACCAAGTGTTGCTGACGGTGCTGTTGTGGTCTTTGCATGCTAAGCAACAGTGGCCTCGCTTCTGGGCTCAGGTTTCCGAGTCCTCTCTCTGCGCAGTGAAGTGGTCAAAGAAGGTAGCGATCCACTGCCCCTCTCTGCGACTTTAGTTCGGTTGGAGGATTGTCCGACTTCGTGGTTGTTCCTATAGCATCGGGTCGAACCGCTGGAAGGGTCCGCTAGTTCACTATCGAAGTGGATGGATAACTGTCTTCCGCCCCGTCTGGGTGCAAGGTATGTCGCCACCGTACAGATGCTGGCAGACAGCGACCTTTCGCGAATGCGTACAGGTGCCGGCGAGCATCCGGCGCCAGAAACAATCTGGGGAACCCCTACTGAATCCAGAAACTATGGGTTTTGCATTCTGGGTCCGCCTTCTTTTGGGCAATTGGTCGGGGGTTGGCATCAAGCTTGTGGTGAGGACTCGTGTTTTTGAGCCATAATCCCTTGAAGTGCAGTTTGAGGACAGGTCTACGTTCAAACTGGTGGTGGTCTGGGCTTTGCTTCCTACCACTTTCAAAGCCCGGACACCTGCTACATCTCTTACGAGAGCGCTCTCAGCAAGACCTTCCCCGCGCTGGACAATGGAAGCCAGCCGCCTCCCAAAAAGCTCTTCGAGGAGTTCTCCTACGACCCTAGGACGCGCACCTTCAAGGGGGTGATCGACTGGTCCCCGTCCTCTTGGCAGGGGGATCAGCTGCCCAGCTTAGAGAGAGCAACTGGCAGGTTGTCATCTTTTTGTTGCGTATCTAGGTCCAGGGTAGGCGGGCGATTGCAGGGCTAAGCTGAGATGTCCTCGACTTAGAGTAGTTGTTTGAGACTTTGGTCAAGCCAGGAAGTGGGTGTACAACATGACGTTCTCCGCAGATCTGGATAGCATTGTCGCGGGCAAGGTGCACTCTGTCCCTGCTGACGACAAGAAGCCTTCCAAGGACTTGCACTTTGGTGTGCACCTTGGCCGTTTTTAATCTTGAGGTTATATGGCGGATAATGGAAAAGGAGATGGAAACAAAAGGGTTATATAGGGGTTATATATAGGGATTATGGGGTATCTCGAAACGTGCAGTTTTGATGCGACCCATTTCGTCATCACTCCCATTTGGCCCATGAGCTTGGTTTGGGCTTCGGGCATTCCACTGCCCACGGATTGAGAAGTCAGCTTGAGCTTCTGGATTTCCCTAGTACGCATTTCGTAAGCTTTCATTGCCATCGGTCCCTTGAAAGAGAAAAAGCCCTGAATCGTAGAAGTTTAGACATGGAAGCTGCAATGCGTTGCCATCTGTAAAAACTAGATGACCAGTGTCGTGTTCTATGATTATTTTCGCTATCCTTCACCCACCCTGCAAGATGCAACCGCTACTTGCCTTGGTTGAGCTAGTACATGCTGTTGCCCAATCGAGCGGAGCCTCAGGAACCTCCACTACCGTCAACTCCAGCTGGGGATGGGCACCGCTGATGCGGTCAAGTCAGCACTTCTGCAGCCATGGCCCCGAGCAAGGGTATGCATTAACGAGCCAAGTTCAATTTACCTGACTTGCTGAACATTCATGTCATGTCGAGTAATTATGAGACCCACCTCTCCCTGTACGCATGTGCCTGCATGTAGATACACAGGCACAAATGCATGCATGCATCCACGCATACCTACGTACATACATACCTACGTACATAAGGAACACATACCCACCTACATACATACATACATACATACATACATCATACATACATACAGACATACAGATGTACGTACGTACGTACGTATGTACATATATACATACGTACGTATACAGATAACGCGTAGTTTTTGGCTAGTACGCTTTGAGTTTGTTGGACAAAGTCTATTTCCTGGTCGTCCTCTTCACGGGCTTTTGCCCTGACCCAAGCCGAAAGGTTGAAACCAAAAACCCAGACCGAGCCGCTGGACTGACAAGCTGGTAGCTTTGCTGGCTTATAGCGATATCTACTTGTACGGGAAAAACCAAGCTTGCAACAAACTGGGCTTTAAGCCCAAAGCTACTCAAGCTTCATCCTGGAGTACCCGGGCCCAAACCTGAAGCCTTGAAGCCTATCTCTCAAAGGTCTGGGGTCCCAGCCTCTGATGTTGAAGCAGCACTGGGCGCTGCGGAGAGTGCTGAGGCAGATCTTACGGTAGGGTGTGCAGGGCGTGGGACACATGATGCATTGAACTTCGGTTGGATGTGTTGGCTGCTGTGCAGTTGGTCTTGGGAATGGCAAGGCCCAGCTTCTTTTGGTGCATGCGGGTGCTGTTTTCGCTTCGTACAAGGAGGACCTGAGCTTTGACAGCACATGCGAAGAGTCCAAGTGAGCATGTACGAGACGACCTAGCTGGCATCTTTGGGCCGTGCCTTCCTTCAACTGATTGTCTTGGTGGCCTCAGAAGGATTGCTTTGACAATGCGAACTTTGACCTGCTGTTGGTGACGCTCTGAATGTGAAGTCGGTCCCTTGCCCTTGCCTTGCCTTCCTGTGGCTGCGGCTGTCGCTCTTGTGGTGTTAGAAGTGTTTCTGAAGTTCCCCCGCCTCCTCGCCTTCTTCATTTGCTTCTGCTTCTGCAATGTCCTGTGCCTTTTCGGCGTTTTTTGAAGGGTCTACGCTGAAACCTTTATCAGTGCGAGGCTGGAGCCACTACAGAGCAGCCTGCGCCCGTGCCACTTGGTGTGGAGATATAAGTCAAAAGTGGAGTTCCAGGCGTGAGGCATTGTATGACGTTATTGTCATCCTGTTATCTGCAGCGTAGAAGAGTCGCAGTTTGCAGCTGTGTGCTATGTGCAAGACTGACCTGGTAGAGCCTTGGCCCTATGCCATTGGAGCTCAACGCTAAGGTTGATTGCCCATCAGCAATCGACTGCGCAGATGTGTGGCTGGTCTTCTTCTAGACATGTTCGTTGTGAAAGCATGTGTTTAGGACCGAGACGCGCATCGGAGTCTATGGATTTGAAAGAGGATGGAGGTCTACGGCATGTGTCTCCCAATCATGTGCGCGATATATTACATCACTGTTATGTTAGTCTCTGAATGTGACCCACGGTTGTTCTCCGACCTGACTCTCTCTCTGCTGGAATAGTGCAATCTGTGGCCCAGCAACTCTGCACATCCTCAAAGTTCGTATGGAAAGCCCTCCTTTCCTGCACAAAAACGTCACGATTTTTAGGACATTATACACGGAAGCCATAAGAAGGGATCCTTGCTGCAGGGGCCCCAGCAAGGAACCCATTTTTATGGAGGTAGCTTAGAGATCCCGGAGCTACAGGCCTGCGCCGGTCTGTGCGCTGGGCGAAGGCCATCGCGCTGAACACGAAGCGGCCAAGCTGCTCGGGCAGGTGTTTATACATGTTGACCATTGATTGATTGGAAGCACTCTCTCCTGGAGGGGATCCTTTTTCATATCCAGCTCCTTGTAGGTTTAGCGTTGGTTATTTAAAGAGATTTGTCACTTGTAGCACACCGCGAATCATCGCGAGTCAGACTGCGAAGCATGTCTTCAGGCTGAAAACAGCAAAAGGGCGTATACTGACACGCTTCTGACAGTACTTGTGGGGAATGCATTTTCCGTTTCCTTAGGTGTGAATGCTGTTTTTGTGATCGCTGGCTCATCTGGCTCTAGGTTCTGTAGCAGGCATTGTCGTCGAAACGTCTAAAGGTCTTACATGCAAGCTTTGACATTCCTGATACCAAACTTACGTTGAGCTGTACTTGATTTGAAGGGTTACCACATGTGCGCAGGTTGCGCAGCAAGAAGTTGCAGTTTCTCTGAATTAGAGGCTAAACCCCAAAAGTCCACCGATTCGATTCAGGCTGGTCCCGACAGGAGGCCATTGGAAAGCTGCAGAGGCTCTCGGCATATTTCCCGGCAGCAAAGATGGATCACGATGACATTTGTAGCTTTCAGCCGGCTTTCAGTGATCAATTGTACCAAGCAAGGATTGCAGTACGGACCGTGGTTTGCACTTTGGGATGACGGGGATGCCGAGAATTTCTGGGCGTCAGACAAGTACATCAGGCAGCGTGTTAACAGGAAATGAATTTTGGAGAAAGGCTTGTATAGCACACGTCTGGGTTGGCTGCCTTGTCAGATCCTCCCCGTTTACGTTCAACTTACATTCCAAGAAACCCCGCCGTCCAAGATGGATCAGGCTGGCCACAGCGCCGCTTGCGTTGCCCCAGGCAGTGCCTGGGCCTGCAAGCTCAGCTTGGGGGAGTCAGAACCCTTGATGTGGGCGTGGTTGCGAGGGTCAAAGTCTGCAAGAATCACCTCACAAGTGACAACAGTGCGGTTTGTGTTGAAGCTTAAAGCGTGGCAGTGATGAAGGAAAGTCTGTCTGTTTGTCGCCTGGCTCTGGTGAGTTGGTTGATCTGATCCATGACCACGTCCCCAGATTCTTTTTCTCGTGATCTTGGACCATGGTGCCGCCCGAGCAAGTGTGGGCAAAGTTGAAGGCTTCGTAAGAAGTCCGCCAGTCTACCACTAACCGAGATTCGCTTTACTTGCTTGTAAACTTGTATCATCGTTCAGCCTTGACACGTTTGTCTGTGGTCAGTGGTTGCAAGACTCCCAGACCGCAAAATAGACCCCAAGACCTTTGCACAGCCCCCACGCCAGAAAGAACAGACACACCGTGTCATCTGTAGCTTACACAGATCTGAGATGTATGGGGAGCGCTGGGGCTTCAAAATTCCAAAGGAAGAAGCTTTATACTCCTTGCTGTTGGCCATCTCCGAGCAGAAGGAAGGCTGATTTGGGGCTAGGGTGTAATGCTCTTTTTGTGGGAGGACCAATGATCTGGATCAAAGAAGTGCCCAAGTGCAACTTATGAGCAATCTTCTGGCTACGCATGTTCATTTGGGTCATGCTTGGCCGAGCTGGCAGAGATTCTAAGCTGGTGCGGGAATTGCTTGCCACAAGTAGGAGCCCGATGAAGCAGAAAGACCAGGAAAACCAGCCCACTCCAGTGCTGAATGAATACCTGACAGGGGAGCTCCAGAGCTGCGTGGAGGATGCCCTGCGGTCCTGCTGGGAAGATTCTGGCGACGCCAAGGCCCTTTGGGTGCGTTGCGGAGTTTTGGGCTTGTTTTCATGTTTGCCTTGGCTTTTCTGATTATATGCATGTCCCTGCTCCGAACCCCCTTATTTCAAAGCTATACATGAGTGATGGGCCGCCTTTGCTCCTGTCAAAGGTCAACGCAGAAATGGCTCGAGGGATTCAGCTGCTGGACGACCAGAAGGCGTGAGCATACAAGAAAGCACGGGGAGGATTCTCTGATTAGCCGGATCGGGGGGAAGATGTTTGTTTGCTGTACTGCAGGCCTTCTCAGGCCTGAGATTTCCCAGCTCCCGAGGCTGAACCCTCATTCAAATTTCTGCGTATCCCATGGCAGCTTTGAAGTCTAGCGTGGAGGCTTAGCATTGATACAGGTTTGCAGGCTTAGGCGAGACCCAATCTTGAAAGCATTTGTGCCGCTTGCCAGGCGGATGAAGCAGTGCAAGCCTTTACGCGTGCACCTTGCCTGCTACTACGAAGTGTGCAGGCTAGACGGCTAGCCGTTGCCGCTTACCATTAGTAGCTAAAGTGACCTTCAATAGAGGAGATGCATTGTTTAGCCAATGCTCTTCTTGGCTAATGATTGAATCCAGCCTAGATGCTGCTACGGCGAAAGCACTGAAGCGCTCAATCTATGCAGTGGCGAAGCATTAAGCTTGAGGTCACGGAGCTGGTCCCCAACTTCGCTGAGGGCTGGCACAAGCGGTCGATTGCCTACTATGCCAAGCAGGACTTCTTGGTCGTTGAACAGGATCTGTTCTTCAAGCAGTCCATCGGTAAAGATGTTGATCTTGCTCAACTACAGCACACGTAGGTGGCGAACCTTGGAGTGAACCTTGGAGTGTACAGCCGCAAGCTGAATCGCCCTACGAGTCCCCATGGGCTACAGTATTTCTTGGAGATCCGAGCATATGCGAGAGAAGCAACGACAAAGAGTTAGCGTGTCGGCTTTCCGGAAGTGTTACCCTCATGTGTTGCTGAGCGAAGGATTACCACTTTGGTAGGCTGTCATGCGGCGCACCCCTTCTTTTGAACTTGGGTAGCGGTTGTAAGGTCACTAGTATCTTAGCAGCTGGAGGCGCAAATTGCACTTTGAGAGTTTTGTCCTGGGGTGTGTTGCAGGGTTTGCTTTTTCTTTCTTCGCTGTTTGCAGGTTCAGAGTGCAGGCATCCACACCATAAACATGGTTTTCAAGCGTGACATATCCAGCTGTGCAAGATTCCGCGAGCTCCCGGGAATCTATTGATTGGAGGGTTCCCCAAGCTTCTCTAGATATCCCCTTTGGACCTGCGCCCCGTGCTCACAACATCAAAGCTGCATCAGAAGATCTTGTCGTACAGTGCACAGTGCATTGAAAGATGATGTGAACACATTTATCATAAGAATGGACTTCAGATTGTAGGGACTTCTCTCCTCCCAACCAGTTTCCTCAAAGCCGAAGCCAGCAGTTGAATCTCCTATTTCTATTGACTGTTGTTAGTGCTCCGAATAGCACTCCGTGTGAACCGTAGCGGCAGCTTTGTTCCTGTTGGAGGAATTCAAGAAGGCGATAGAGGACTGCAAGAAGGCCAGCATTCTTCTGCGTGCAGTTTCTGGCGGATATGGGCGGCTTCTTTAGAGGACAGATTTTGACCGCCTTTGCCTGGTTCTGACTGTCGAGAAATAGCTCCTCCAATTTAAAAGGAGTTCGATTTCTGCACCAAAAACCGGAAGTGGAAGTGGGGATGAGTTGCTGTTGCCTTGCATGACGCGAGCCTATCAAATCCCTCAACCAAAGCAAGGCTTCCCAAAGGAATCCTTATATCCTTGCAGCAGAGCCATCAATCAGCTGAGTGGCAAGTGTACGCCAAATATAAGGTTGTGAGGCAAGAGCCGCAGACGTCGGCCCTAAGACCTTGTAAAATGTGGAGATGAAGACAGGCGCTATCATAGTCTGAGACTTGGGGCTTATTCGGAGTCATTTTGTCCATTGGCCGTGGTTTCCTTCAATGTAGCCATGTAGCACAGCTTCGCCTGAGAGCCAAGCAAGCTTAAAGGGTCCGCTGCTGCGCGCAAAGCTTTAAAGATCCCAACGTTTTCGAGGACTTCCCCAAATTAGGGGGTACCTTCGCGGGGGTCCCCATAGTAAGGATTGTAGTATGTTGGTGTCTACGCTGGGGTCCCCTTGTTTAGGGAAACTACCATTTCACTTTCAATCTGAGGTGGCGCCCGCCGCTTGGTTTGGGAATCTGTTGTTGACCAATCCCCCTCTAGACCCTCATATACACCCCACTTTCCGTTTCATTGTCCTTTTTTGTTTAATTCCATGACTCCTATATACCGCTATATAACCCCTATTGCTAGTACGTTATCTATTACTATTAGTATCATTATTATCATTACTATGATATGATACCGAATCCTGAATCCTGCAACCGCTTCAGGCGCTGGAGCTGAATCCGCGGCACTACTGGTGCGCTTTCCGGGGGTTACGGGGTGACTTACTGGTGCTTAGTTGGGAATAAGCGAATATAACCCTGGTTTTATGCTTCTATAATATATTCCCTTATTCACTGCTAGCCACCAGTAAGTTAAGGGAGGTTGGAGGGCTCTGAATGGAGTAGCAGTCCTGAAGGTCCATGATTGTTGGAGCCTTTGTATGTATGTGAACACGAAAATGCTGCCAGAGTCGTGTAAGGGGTCAGAACGACCCTTTTTAGCACCTCACCTTGATGTTCCCAACCCGCAATTGGACAGGTGCCTGACAGGCATGGGCAGTTGTCTGACACTCAGTGTCCTGCTCGTCTTTCTTCTTACAATGTTGCTGAATCAAAACGGTTCGGTGCCATGATGCATGAGAACAAGTCTGTGCCCCAACAAAAGTGCCACAATTCCTAAGCGAAGGTGTCACAAATAGGCTTGGCTGTTGTTCTGGATGTATGCAGTGCCGAATCCCGACACAGTCTCCTCCAAGGCCATTACGAGCTCGACCAGAAGCAGGCAGCCCGAGAATGCTGGCAGGCCGGCCAAAACCAAGACCCCGCCTGCTCGACTCTTACACTTGGCACGACCGTGTTTCTGAAAACCTAGTATAACAGTGCAGTGAAGATTTGCATTGTGACCGACTTAAAATCCTACCTAGCTTCCTAAACCCTAAACCCATCACTAGGCTCGGACCTTGCGCTCCAAGCCTGAACTGGGAGCTTGTCTTCCAGAAGCGGTGCATTTAGCTGCTCAAGCTGCTCTTTGAGTCGGCTTCACTTCCAATTCGAGATCGGGTTAGGTAAGTCTTGCCTGCCATGGAAATTCAATAAGGTCAGACTGTAGATACTTGAAGGTCTTGTTGTCTGAAATTCCTAGTTGCAAGAAGACAGAACAGCCCAGGACTGACTTACTTGTGGGATCATTGAAGCCCGCCCCGCAGAAACGCTTCCCTTGCATAGCAATCGGAGAACCTAGCCTGGGGTCAGTCGGATTTGATGATTCGTTTTGGCTGGGCAGGTGTTCGCGAATCCAAATAACAACGAACTGCGGGAAGTGATAGCCTAGCATGTCTAGCCCTCAACCCTCGACTTCGCCGTCTAAAGCGTGACCGGATGCCAGGCAGCGCTCGAGATTTTCCCGGACATGCCAGGGGCGTAGAAGCCTCAGAGGGTTCAGAGTGGACGGGAAGTGAGGGGCATCCAAATCACGGCCCTCAACGCAGGCGCATGAGATCAGAACCGTAGGTGAGCCAGCTGCAGTATGAGCTTGAAGACTAAAGAGAAGCACCAAGGCGGGCAAAAATCGACGAAGCCGTTGCTCGACTTGTTCCCTTGTCGCTAGCCGCGGGTAGGCCTAACTTGACTAAGCTCTGCATTTTTTGCACCACGAAGCGTTGGAGTACCGAGACTCTGTTTGATCTCAGTTCGGCCTCTGGTGATGCAACCCCATTAGCTGAATTGCTTCCTTTCAGACCAGTCGAAAGCTGTAGACAAGTCACCGGGAGCACCTTGCAACCGAGGAGCTAAAAGACATCATGGATGAGTGCCTGGTCCTGACAAGCTCCTGGCGCTACGATGGGACCATAGTCAGAAACAATCGGTTTCACCGGAGACTAGGTGTTTAAGTCGAGGGCCCAGGGTCTTCTCACATGACATTCTGCCGGCAATTGTGCGTCCATACGCTGGAGCCAAGGCATTTGAGGCCAGTCTGCTGGTGTGCACGTTCTGAGGTTTCAAGATCTTTCAACTTGCGAGAAGATGTAAGTTTTCCTAGTTCGATTCGGGCCTAGCCAGTGGCTGCTGACAAAATGTTGTCCAGCAGCTTGGCCGTGTTCAGGCAAGGACAGGCAAGGACAGGCAAGGTTTTAGGATTTCATGCTTAGCAGCGCATTCTGCTGACGGTGTCCACTCTTTGAGACTTTGAGCATGCCTTGAGCTCGTCCGTTCCCCCAGCCTCTTAACTCTCGTGGTGCAGAGCCATTGGGGTCCAGCGCAGACAGCTTACTCGGCAAATTTCCGCACATGATGTCACCGTTACATGAATGCTCGATGCTACAGAAGTTGCTGCCTTGAGCGCCTCTGCTGACAGATGCAAGTCGCGGCCAGAAGCCATAACTCATCTGGTTAAATGGCGCGAACTTACAATTTTTCGTCATCTCCTTATCATCAAAAGACATGTTTGTTTAGACGCACCTCAACAAGTTGGTATTAGTATGCTTGTCATTGACTCCCTCCAGAAGCTGTGTCTTGGGAGGCCGGTCATTGACCGCTTCGTGGATGGCTTCCAGCATGAAAGCCCGGAGCCTGCTATGGCGCGCCTGTCCAGCAATAGACCGGTCCGAGGCAGAATGCGGAATCCCCAAAAATGCGGGGTCCTGGCAAGGGTTGCGGTAAGGAGGATGGTTGTTATTTGCAGTCTTTTGCGTTATCTTGGGCAAGCCTTGACTTTGAGAAAGGTCCAACTGGCACAAAAGGTGAGGGACTTCGAAGCGAGTTTTAGAGCAAGGCAAGAACACGAGAGCATGCTTTCTGCTTTCACCCCCATGACTTGCGCGGCCTCCTTCCCAAAACACTGCTGAGGCTTTCTGGGGCTAGCCATTGGGACCCTTGGACAGGACTGGCGTAGAGCAGTTCGGAAGTTTGCCTTTATGGGCGTTTAGTGCTGTCAACATGCGTCATAGATGCATGGATGTTACATGCTCAAAGCCAAGGATGTTCACCGGATAAAGATGGACCGGGAAAACTTCCCAGACGCTTCTCGGCTTGGGTCTAATTGACGCTCCGGTCCGTATAGATGGCCATTGATGCTGCAACAATCCCCCGTGCAAATGAGCGAAAGAGCTTCGACGCGAGTTTTCCAATCCAACAGTGTCGTCAACGGCCCACACGCTATTGGACCATGGGGTCTATGCGGATACGCCGCAATGTTCATGCGAGGTCTATAGCGACATGAAATAAACACAGAAATGTGCAAACACAAATTCCCCATTACTCTGCTGCACTTGCCACATGAACCATAGCATATGTAAGTCCTGCATTCCCAGGAGCGAGAGGCGTACCTGACCAGACTGCAGAAGTTGGGACACGGAAACAAGATGACACATGCCAATCGCTTTTGTGATTAGGCGTCTTCCTATGTCTTGGGAGGTGCATGGTAACGTTCAAGCATTTCGTCATATTCATCGTACTAACAAGTATTGCTGGCAGTTGGGCCTGGAAAAGAAAAACAGAGGACTTTCAGCAGCGCAACAACCCCAGCCACCCAAAAAATGGCGCAGAAAAACATTGAAAGCATTTCATCGACATGCAAGCGGAAAAGCCAAGTCTTCCCTCAAGCTGCAAGCAACCCTCAAGAAAGCGGAGGGGACAACGCATGACAACGCTACCCGCCCGCGCGTTAATTTTGACTCTTGCCCTTTTCTCACCTTTTTCTAGCATTTTGGGTCCAGTTGCATAGCTTTTGCAGCGCTATTGCATTGGTTTCGCGTTTTCGATTTTTTTGTTCTTTGTTTTCGCAGGTGTACCATTTTTCGCGGGGATACAGAGTACAACGCAAAAAGGGGGTGACTTGCCAGGGCTCCCTCCAGACCAGCAATCCTGCAAAATCTTTGCAAAAACCGTCCGGAAACCCTGAAACAGCCTGCTCAATAACCATCACAGGCTCCCCATTTGCAGCGGATCACATGCTTGGCTGCCATGGGCCTGGCTTTGGTGGGTACACGTACCTCAAGCAAGAAAACCAAGAAAGTTGCAATTGCAGCTCGAAAGCGGTCGCACATATGGTCTTGCCTTTAGTCTTGGCTTTTCTGGCGCCTTCTTCTTGTTTTTTTGGCACGCTATTGTTGCCTTTTTTTTTTGGGATTGACTTTTGTTATCCTGCTGCCTTTTTGTTGCTTTGGTTTTAGTCTGCTGGGTTTCTGGTCGCGTTATTTCTACCTTTCTGGAACGCCCTCATTCTGCGCTTTTGATCTAAAGGATTCGCAACACAAGCCAGGGTACGATAGAAACAGGCCTCCGGGCTTTAGTGTACATCCCCTTCTCTGTGAGACTCTCTCCGTCCCTCTGCCTCTGTCTGTGTGTAAAACAACATCTGGTGCAGAGGTTTGGGCCTACTTCTTCCGCGTCTCTGTACGCCGGCCGTCCCAGGGCGAGGGCGAGGTCTGCCAATGGGCCATGTGGTGTGAGCAGCAGTGGGGATTAGGTAAGGATGCCAAAAAGTTTTCTAAATCACTGGGTGGTCCACTCTTTTGAGTCTGAGTCTAAGCTGGAGTTAATGACGAAGAGCCCCTCTCAAAGGGATCCAGGCTTGTTGAACACTCCCCTAGGGTGAGATCTTCAGGTGAGGAGCCGGGCGCGGTTCTATGTGCTGCGCGGGCAGGATGGCAAGGCCATGCATGGATTCCAGGATTTGAGCTTGGGAATGTGAGGGATGGACCCTGAGGGATCCGAAAGGTTTCAACTTATGTGTAGAGGTCCCCTTTGAGGATTGCATGAGTACGAAAACTTGAGTTGTAATGAGCCAAGCTGGAGCCTACAGTGTTTGGATGCAGAGCATTTTGCAATGCGCATGCTTGGATGTTGGGGCATCGGTGTTTAGCGAACACGGTTCAGGGCGAACACGGTTCAGGGTTCTGGGATCTTCGGAGACATGTTATTCGTGGTCAGGCAGAAAATCTGCCACGCTCATCAAGAGACTTTAAACCGCTTGAAATGTTCTGATTCTTCTGAAGGTCTTTCCCTTCACTCGCCCCACAATTGCCGCGCCCTCAGCGGCACTCATTTTCGGCGCTGTGGTACGTCCAGTCTGCGCGTGGCAGGGCGGAAGCTGCGGTTAGGCTGTTGATGGTCCTTCATAGACCTTTTAAAGATTGAGACGCTGCAAGCCACTTCAAACCTTGCTGCGCGAAGCATCACCCAGGGCGAATCGAGCTTCTCGCTGAATGCAGGAGCAGCTGCATTGTTGATAGGGCTTGTGCGGCTAATGAGTTGGTTAAACGCTGAGGAATTGAATCGCACCTCCGAGGGTTTTGGGGGGCTCCTTTAAAGGGGCCCTTATCAATGTTGCGTTCCATTGTTCTCAGTTACCCTGGGTGAGACTTGGCCCCTCCAAAACTAGGGCTCGGAGTATAGCAATACGTGTGGAGCTAGGTAGGTAGCTGAATGTAAGTATCGAAAATGTAACTGAAAAAGAACAAATGACTGCATAGATAAACATATAGACAAATATATACATATACATAGGGGCAAATTTCGGGTTCACATTCATTTCCTGCAGGCATGCACCCAGCCTCGCAAGTCAGAAGCCCATGACCTCATGCCGTCTTTCGGCAGTCGTCAACCCAGAGACAGCCATAGTAACCAGAGTAATGTAAGACAGCTGAGATTTAGATGTATGGGTTGTGGTTTAAATCCTCGGCTGCGCGACATGCTGAGTTTGAAAGGAAGCCCGCAAGCTGTGCATAGCTCTCAGCAAGCCAAAGATTAAGCATCAAGAGCCGTTCTCGCGTCCCATGCCCTGTTGCAAGGAGATGAGTACAAGTTCTGCTGGTGTCTGCTGACTGGGCGAGAGCTTCAACGAGCTGCGGCAGCTGTGGCTACCAAGGGCTTAGACATGAGGGGTTGGGATTGGTCTTCTTTGACTGTATGTTGTCTACCTTGGCTGCTCTTGGGCTCATCGAGACGCAAAACATATGTGTAAAGCCACAGAGTTCGCCCAATCCGAGGCCGGAATGCTGCTGGAAGGTTCGGCAGATGGACAGCCAGAGCCTCCTGGTTTTTTGTGGAAGGAGGGGCTGGGCCTCATGCAGAGCCTGAAAGTGCAGATATAGGCACGCATACACATCTCGGTCTGCTTAATTAGCGATTCCTGAAGATTTTTGTAAGGCCGTGTAGAGGCCGACCTTCAGAGTGATTCACAAAAGGTGTTCCTAGTTGTGCAAAAAAATTTGGGTAATACGCAAAACAGTTAGCCCTTTGCGTTGATGTTGGCAGTTTTCACCTGTAGAAGAGCTGGCGACGCAGAGTGGCAGCTTGCTGCAAGAACGCATGAAGACGTATCATCCAACTGGGAGGGGGGGTTAAGAGTATAGCTGGAATTCTTATCCAATGGTTTCGAAGCCCTTTTGCGTGATGAAGAAACGGGAAGCAAGACCGCATCCTATGCTCAGGTTCCACAGTGAGGAGCTTCCTGTCCTCTTCCCCATGGGGGCTCCTGAGGTTCCCTGACATGGCAAATGTTTTAGGAAAATTTAGTTGGGTGTTGCTGCAACCTGCTGTTCGGCATGCGTCGCTACGGCTTACCGGGACTGGGCCGAGTTGACAGCTCTGCATGCTGAACAATCCTAAGCCACAGACATCAGCAGCATCAATGAGGGTAGTGTCAAGATGGCTATACGGCTTGATGTGGGCGCTGAACACTTGCACAAAGAACCTCCCGGTGCCCATCCACCTCCCAGCCCTGAGCCCCACCATACCTAGATGAGGAACAGACAAACTACAGCAACAAATGCGTTCGTAATTACTGAGGGCAGTGCTGGCAGCAATCACTACCCCCTAGAGACTGCCTCTACTAGGAGATTCAGATTTCCCAATCCCTTGGAAAGCCAGATCGATCCATCCGAAGCAGCTACCCTCGGCGAGACTGGGACGCAGGTGAGGGATATGCCGGGGCTCTCCAATTTGTCGAGAGCTTATGATGAATCACACAGCAAGTGGAGGGGAACGTAGGGGCGAGCATAGGAAATTCAACATGGGGAGCTATCCACGTTGCAATCCTTTCCTAGGCCGTGGAAACAAGGGATCGCATTGTGTGATCATCACCCGAAAAGATTTCAGCTTGCAACTTTGAGCACTCCCAACGTAATGAGTCAGGACAATTTTGACGCGCGTTTGGAAAATAGAGAATGAAAAGGGTCTTACCCAAATCACTTCCGCTTTGGCAGTGGCAAGCCTGCACACCTCACTTTGTCGTATTTCTGGGTTTGTTCTTGCTTAGGGAAGACTCTGCTTTGTCAGGCTCATGGGATGGAACTGAACAGGCGTGTTGCCTTGGCTGTTTCGAAGCGTTTGTCAGTGTGGGGGAGAAACTAGCTAACTAGCACAGCCAAACGAACTGACGAAGAGTGGTTGCCCAATTTTTGCTATCTATCGTGCTCCCCAAGCCCTGAGAGCATTACTTGTCATGCTTCCTGGGCCAGCCCCAATTCCCCTGCAATCATTCGCCTTTTTGAGGCGTTGCACCACCTCTAGTTATCTGGCTGGGATTACGGTTCTGGGGCATCCTGCTCCACAACAAAACGGGCAGGATTGAGAAAGATGTGTATTGGAAACCCAAGCAGCTGCACGCAACAAAGGACGGCTATACCTTCACCGGGCACCTGGACCTGCGGGCAGTGGCTGGCTTCTAGGCTCTCCTGCAGGGTCCGGTCTGGTGCAGGAGTGGCCTTGGGAGGGACAAGGGCGTATTCCAGATGAAGGGATCGCACTATTGGAAGGTTATCAGAAAACGTTTTCTTCATGCAATTGCGGTGGCCTGCCACAGCCGTCTTTTGCGATTGATGATTGGTTGCAACATGAAAAGCAGACCTGCCAATGCACAAAATAAACTGGCGCGATGGCTAAATCGAGAGGTTTATCTTGTGTACCACTGGCAGGAGGCACGACCAAAGCCCCAGGGCTTGGCGCAAAGGCTTGCAAACAGCTTGCGCTGACTGCTCTTGCAGCTTCCCGCCAGGGCTGGCCTGATTTGTACCTTTTGAGGTGATGAGTCTACTTTGTTATTCATAGATCCTCTGCACTTATTCCAGAGTTCTTGGTGGGATCCGTGTGGCTCGGCCTTCCCTGGCATGTGGTGCTCATGCACAAGTGAGACATGCCGCGAAGCATCGTAGGCTCCTGGCAGCTGTCCCGAAGCCCGCTCGTGCAGTTTTCGCCTGCTCTGGGCAGCCCCCAGATGGCCCGCGGAAAAAGTGGCGTGGCTGTTAATGAAACGGCTAGTCAGGCTTAACTGAGAGTTTGACTTGCGGACACACTCTCCAGACTCCTGGCAATGCTTACCTTACACTTTCAGCCCTTCAGCACCTTTCCGTACTGTAGTACAGTAAGGTCACCAGTAGTCGCTGTTCTTCCGCGCATGAGCCAGCCTCAGAAATCTGAAGCTAGAGGCCTTGGACGGCTCCTTGATATGTAGAATCCAATCTTCAAACGTGCACAGTCTGCATGTGAGGCAACGCACTTGGGTCAGGCCGTAGACAGGTTGGGTTCAAATCCGCTACTGATATAGTTTGGCAGGGATGTTGTCAGGACCCACTGCAAAAAAAGGGATCAGGTCATCTCAGCTTTCCAGTCGTCAGGAGATCGAGGTCCAATCTAAGCCAGGCTGCTGTGTGTATGGGGACTCTGCATGAGTACAGTTCTGATACCTTGCACGCATCTCAACAGCGCCACCAAGGCATCCAAATCCAGCCAAAGGGGGGAGGTTCCTGCCGCCATGTTGTGTTACTTGTAAGCTTCCAGCACTCAACTCGGTGTTTAGACAAGCCTTGAGGCTACATGGGAAACCTTCAGTCACTCAAATTTGCGAAGCGTTTCTGACAACGAATCCTTCAAACCAACCGCAAGTTCACGGGGTGTCAGGGGACCCGACCAGGAAGCAGAGGGTCAGGCATAACCAAGGTGTAGCATGTCTTGCAAGCATTGAAGACATTCACCCCAAGCCTTGAAGCCCTTGCAATGGCCGAAAGCGATGCATCGTACTTCAGTGGGCCGCTGCAGCTCATCCAGATCGATGATGATGGCAAGTGCCACCTTCAGGAGCTTGCTTAAAAAATTCACAGTTGTTTTCAGAAACAGTACCAAGCTGAAAAGTTAAGATGTCTCATGATCAGCAGAGTTGAATTACTGTTTTGCCCTCAGGGTCCGTTCAGACATGTAGGACTGCCATGATGTAGGGTTCTGCTTTTCAGTTCAGTGTCAGCTGGGAGCCAGCAATCCTGTAGATACCGCAGAGACCTCACCAGAATCATGTGCTCTCCAGTTGCATATGCACCACAGACTGCCTGGTTTGGAAGATTCAGGAAAATGCTGCGGCCATCCTCAGTCAGATCCCGGGGCGGCTTGCGAATCTCAGGCAGCATTCGATAGGTGACGCGCCCACAAATTGTCGCTTGTGAACTGTCACTGCTGAATTCTTGGTTGAAAAGGCGTTTGCATGCTGCATGTTCCCGCTCACCCTGCAGCACCAGAGTCCCAGGATTGTGGGCATCGCTGGGCTCTACCGAACTGGCAAATCATTCCTATTGAATCGTCTGCTTGGCCCTTTGGCAAGATTTAGATGGGATCAGATCCTACAGGCGCTTCTTGCCTAACTGAACCTCCTGTGCAGCTGATTTGCAGTAGGAGGGAGCAGCTGCTAGTTGACTCCTTAACTCTAGATGCAGACCCAGAGGAACCTTTGAAGTCCATGCAGGACGTAGCTGTGGTCATCAAGCAAGGAGACTTCATTACGCTCATGTGAGCTACTCGTTCACTGCAGTATTATCACTACAGCATGGACGAGACAGCTGGAGGTACCTCTGAAACCCCACTGACCAAAAAAATCCAAGAGAGGCCTGCAGGCCGGTTTCGAGATTGGTCCCACCATCAACCCGTGCACGACGCTGGGCAGCTCTGTGGTGCTAGTTCTGGTGCCCCCAATCTTAATGATTCCTCTACTTGCTTTGGTTGGAGGTCACAAGGATTCCGGTGCATGAGATTAGTGCCTAGGCTTTTTGTTGGGTGACTGTCCATGCGATCGGAAAGTCTTGACCCTTGCAGTGAAGAGGACTGGGCTGGGTCCCTGATTCATCCTGTTTGGGTATCGGGCATGGCAGCCATGAGCTGTGCAATGCGAGCTGGCCGTCTGCCCATTTTTGTTGCCGAGGAAAGGTCTTTGGATTTGGGGCCAGCCTGTGCAGCTGGCGCCGGACAGCTTTGGTTTCACAACTCAGCTGGTCAGACGAAGCAGTGAGCATTGAGCACATAGCGGTCAAGGGGGGGGGGTACCAGGGAAAGAATGGGCCTTCATCAGACGCGACACGTCTTAGCATCTCGAGTCGCCACCGTGCAGGATGCCCAAAATTTCTGTTACTATCCTCTAAAGCAAGGCAAGAAGGTATGTAAACCTGAGTCCAACAATATCCAATAATGCTTTCAGGTCAAGCCTTCTCTGGAGTAGCAATCAGCGGAGTCCGCACCTGAAAGCCCCAGCCTGGAGCAAACCGGAATGCAATGGAACCCAAAGCAGATGGCAAACATCAAACCTGCCCCTATCCATGCAGGACTACTTCTGTATCCTCATCGACACTGAGGGTTTGGGCTCCACTCAACGCACAGCAAGCTGCGACATGCAGATCTTGTCTCTATGCATCCTGCTCTCCTCGTGCCCGCAAGGGCTTTGACGAGCGGCAGCATCGATTGGGGCAGGTATGCATATATATGTATACGTATATGCATATATATATAGAGATCATGAAGGGTGCAAGGTCTATATGTCAGGATTGTTGATTTTTCATGCTAGCTGACCTCTGGCCTCCCAGACCATTTGGTCATGGTGTAGGTCACATTGCTCATCACAGGGTGAGAAGTCTGTTCGCAGATCTTTGGCCGGCAAGTATCCCAGACCATGGGCTGTGGGTCATGCTTCTTTTTTTTAAATTATCCAACTTCATTTGTTTGGTGTGGGGCTTTGCGTTCAAACATGCTATTCCGCTTGCCCGGTGCTGTCGGAGATGACCTAAGCATGCGTGACGCCTACCCTGGATCTGAGACCACAGGTACTTCATCTACAATTCCATGGGCGCGATAGATGAGCAGGCTTGTGTCTGTGTGCGGAAATGGGAAGCCTTGAAGAAAACGACAAAAGGCCATCGACGACTTGCACCTCGTGCTTCACTTGGCAAAGCATATCCACGTGAAGAGCCGCCGGCGCAACGAGGTGGCCGCGGGTTCACAGGGTTCACTTTGCTCTGACATGGATCTGAGATCCACTGACGAAGGGTACGCAGGTTTGTTGAATGATGGTTGTTTCAGCATTTTAGCTGCGTGGAGCGTTTCGAGGGCCCGGTCCCAATCTGTTCTTTTTTGACTAGCTTAGAGCTAGTTATCATGTACCTGAAATACATAATTCGCGGGAGGAATTCGTAGTAGCGTGCTTGCTTTAGGAGCTGACATAATCACAGGCAGGCAGTGATTCTCCGCAAGGAGCAGTGGCTCCTTGCATGTCCTGATGAATGGTAGAACGTTCACCTTGTTCTTAGCTTGCTTGAATCTGGCAGTTCCGCGGAAGGAAGAGAAGTCCGTGGACCTCGCCCAGTACTTTCCTCTATTCCTCTGGGTTTTGCGAGACTTCCATCTCCGTCTTGCCGATGAGCGTCCTGGAAGCCCAAAGTCAGCTTGATTGGAACTTCTGATGATGTTACAGGGATATCGGCTAGCGGTGTGGAATTTGCTCAGTCTTGCAGCCTTGCGATTGGGAGACGACATTCCAAAAGTTGGGAGAGTTACCTGCTTAGCATAGTGACCTGGTGGCAGCCCGCTCTCGGCCTGGTTTAGGTCACAGAATCCAGTGGTCCCAATCGTTCTACCGCCCTTAGCTGCCTTTTGGCATTTCCTCCACTTTGAGCCAGCAAGCTAGTACCACCAGCAACCCTTCAGCTGAAGCAGAACCCGGAGCTGTCATCCCAAGCCCTCGTGACCCCGACTTTGCAGGCTCAAGGGTTTACGGTATAGTGAGGATTGAATGGCACCCATTCTGTTTGAGGCCAAACCCAGTGTAAGTAAGTTGAAAGCAGCTCCAAGCACCTTTACTCCTTCTGACTGACCACGGCGTGTTCTTGGTCTTTAAAGTGCAACTGGGAAAGTCTGTTACTCGACCCAGGTCTGGGGCGCCTATCTCCGAGAAGGAGCACACTTTTAAGTCCTCATGTAGGGGAGAGTATGTTTCAGCAGGTGAGAGTCTGTTGAACTTTCATCTACAGGTCCACCTTCACCTTTGTGAGAAGGGATGTAAAAGAAAAAGGTTTACTTGGATCTCTGCCGACGCAGCTTTGGGCAAGTCCGGGCAGGTAGCTGGTTCGAGAATCCAGTGACGATTTGTTGATTGTGGCAACAGCTTCTCTTGGTTTCTTGTGGTGGCCGACTGTGAGCTTGTGCCGTGTTGCGATGAGCTGTTCCCACGCAGGAGTACCTTGAGCGAGCCCTGCAATCTGTTCAAGGCCTGGAAGTCGTACCGCCACCTTGAACAATGGCGTTCATACCATTCATATCGAAGCAGCTTCTTTGTGCTAAATGAGGAGCCTTGCTGTCCAAAATTAAACAGGGAAAGAAGGGTGCCAACGGTAATGCAGGTCAAGACGACAAGAACAAGCTGCGAGACGTCATCAAGGACAACCCTCTGGTAGTAGCGGGCTCCGGAGGCATGCAGATGTGCAGCACGCAGATAGAAGAGTTCAAAGCTGAGACATGGCAGCAGCGGCAGGACAAGTTTGGCTTTGTCTACAAAAACACCATGAGTAAACGCAGGTAGCCAATCGAGAAGCTTCATGGCCGTGTCCTTTGCATATTGGCAGGACCTCTTCCGGGAGCGTGACTGCGCCACAATTGTACGGCCGGTAGCCGACGAGGCGGACCTTCGAAACATTCAGAAGCTGCCTTTGCCCAAGCTTTCGGTTGAATTCAGTTGAGCTTGAGGTTCCTGCAGCTTGACAGGGCCAGCGGTGCTGTTGGTGTGTGCAGGGCCCCAATCCCCTGTAGCATTCCGGACGCTATTAATGCTGCACAGCGGAAAGGTTAGATGCTAAGGTCAGGCCTTGGGCATGGAATGTTCCGGATTCAGCCACCTCATGTAACCTGATTAACGCGAAGACCCAGGCCCTACGAGTCTCTGCGGCCGGAATTCCGCGTGCAGGCTCTCCAGCATGCGGGCTGGTTGGAAGCTCTGTGAGAGGAAGTTGTCTTTCATGATGCGCATGTTAAGGCTGCTAAGGGTGCGAGAGATTGTCAGTAGGTGCTGTGGTGATCTTGTGCTGTAGCCTGGAGGTGGAAGCCTTCGTCAAGAAGGTGTATATGCCTCTCGCCAGTTCCGCAAAAACGGCAAAGAGTTTCCAACAAATCTTGTCCTCCACCCATTTCGCAGTCTTTTCTACAACGGCTGTCCTGCCGACAGGGTGTATATGAAGCTCAGAAGCCATTTCAGCCTGTGTTACCCATACACAGTATAGATTTTTTTGGACAGCGAAGCATGAACCCAAAGAGATATCCAAGCCATGGAGAATAACCACAGTTTTGTGCTGGGCTCCAGTCTACAAGCTCGAGTACTGTAGCATGGACATGATCCCAGCCAAAACCTTGTGCACCTAGGTTCCTGAAGCCAAAGAAGATTGATGGGCAGCTGGTGAATGGGGCCATGCTGGTGGAGCTGGCGGGCGAGTACTGTGACCTGGACCTGCATATTGCCAAGCCCCATTTTGGCATAAGGGAGCGTGACATGCGATTGAAGACGGATCTTGCCATCTCGCTCACTGAAACCGGGTAGCTGTTTCGGGAAGCTGGCAAAGTTGTGAAAGCTAGCAAAAATCCTGTACTTAGACTTTGTGGTCCCAAAGCCTTTCGCCACGAGCCTTTCGACTGTTGCCTCTGACCGTGCCCATCTCACTCTTGCAGCGTCACGCTTGAAAGCTGCGTCGCCCCAGGCAAGGCCATCAATGGCAGCGTGGTTCCCACAATCCAGTCTGCATGGACCTCTGTGGTCCAGCATCAACTGCGACTCTCGCTGCGGGATGCTGTCCAGGTGTACCGCTCCAGGAGGGGGATCTGAGGGTTTTGGGAGATGCGTCGAAAGGACCAGTGATGACTGGTGGCTTTTGCATGTTTAGCAGATGCAGGGTCGTGCGGTTAACTTGGGTATGAGTTGCCACTGAAGATGTTGGGCCCCCGTGTTTGCTTACTAGACATTGCTAGCCAAGAGAGCGGATTTCATCCGGGTCTTGGGAATGAAGGCTTGCATTTTGCAGTCATTGTAAAGGGGGCTCCGCCAGGATGAACGAGACAGCGATGCAGCATCTTCCTGTCTCAGACGAGAAGCCTCCCGGCTTAACAGCTGGAGTTTCCTGGGCTACTCGAATATTAACGGGCTGTGAAGTTTGGAGCCCTGGTCCAAGCCTTCCTGTCCCGGAATCCCACTGCTTCTCGGGATCTCGGGAAGGCAGGGATAGGGGTGCAGCAGGCTGCGCGAGCTGCACAAGGAGGCGAAGGCGGAGGCTTTGAAGATGCTCGGCACTTTTTTTTTTGGGAAGTTAAGGGCACTTCTGGGACCGAGATCGAAGAAGGGTACTGTAGCAATTAGGAACGGTGGAAGACTCCAAGATCTTGGTTTTAGCGACACTGCATGCACTTGACCAGCTGGATTCCGGCAGATCGCGCAGAGCCCGGATGCAAAAAAAAAGCGACACGGTATTCAGGAACACGCGCAGCTTCGGTACAATGGAGCCGTGGCCCATCACTAGGGCTTCTGAGTGTTCACTGGATGGTGTGCACGACGTGTCGCTCAAGCTGTGCACCCCAACAATGGAGATAGTGCACGGCGCCATTTTGGCGAAGACATCCATCTTCTAAGGGCTTTCCAGGAGAATAACCCCTATATACTTCCAGTAAGTATATTAGTTTCCATCTTCTTTTCCATTTCCCCTATATAACCCCTATGAAATCCCAATAATAATGACCCTCCACTCTTCACTCGGGCGCCTCAGCCAGGATCCTTCTCAGCTCCCGTCTGGAAGCCGACCCGCGATTCAGAGAATGCCGATCGCAGCCACCTGGGTGGCAGTGAGATTTCACCGGAGAATGGCGTGCCCGCAATATTTTGATTCCAGATTTCCGCTTCAGGATTCGGGCAGCTGTCGGGGAATGTGGAAACAGACAGGGGCCTGGGAAAAGGATTCGCGCAGCTGCGTGTCTATGTTAGAAACAGGCTGCAGCATAAATTGCGGGGGTACTTCAGTTTGTGTCAGTTGGTGCTCTTACGGTGATCATGGCATGCCGCTGAGGAAGCAGCAGGCTGCAGTCCCCAAATTGAGCTCAAAGCAGGCCCATACTCATTGCTCGCGGTTTTTGACTTGAAATGTGGACCATGAGATTTGAGAATGAAGAGGAACAAACCTACATTGCCTGCTTCGTTGGAAATGCCACCGGCGGTCTCCCAAGGTTCTCATCGCGCGTGCGACAGCTCTTTGGGCACGTTACAGCAGACACGTGCCACCAAATAAATGGAGTTGCGGTTCGTAGTAGTTGCAATTTCGCTTCAGTCATTTTTGCCATCCTTTGTCGTCGCGGTTGTTGAGGTTTCGGCTGGCCTTGATTTTGTTGCTGCTGCAGTCATTGCGTAGCTGCAGTATCAAATGCATTCTGGACCTGGGGGAAAGGGGCAGCAACTTTGCCCCAAGCCAAGCGAGGCATAGTCTAAACTCCTACTTAATAGCCCCTATAACTCTCCCCTGTATAATCCTTTGCAGAACCCTCCCGCCCCCTGGACATCTAAATGGCCTAGATCCAGGAGTTTAGACTATAGCTCAATTTCAGAAAAGCTGCACAGGAAAACCTGAGCGCTTCGCAGCGCCAATGCGATCGCCTAGCTTGCCGGCTGATCAGAGGACCTCAGGTCTAAACTCCTTAAAGGGGGTTATATGGGGGATTATATGGGAGAGTATTACAGGGGTTAGTAAGGGGGAGACTAGGAGTTTCGACTATGGCTCAGGACACGGATTATTGTGGCGCCTAGAAAATGATGAGTCTCTGCAGCACAAGCCTTCGCAAGAAGACTCTGTGCTCAGAAGCTTAGTTGGGCGTGATAGAACGTTGTCCGAGGGACTTTCTGTTGTGGTTTGTGATGGTGTGGGCTTGTGAGATCTTCATGCTTAAGTGTTGCTGGAGGCCTGGGCGACATTTCTTCGTCTGCCATATCAACATACAGCGTCCTCATGCAAGGTCTGAGTCCAGGAGCTTCAGAGTGCTCAATGTAATGTGGGGTCCTGATTAGTGTTGGGGGCCTCCTCAAACAAAATAGGGCCCCTGATGGCCCCTGATTAGTTTAGGCCCCCCCAAACGAATCTGGACCCTATAGGTTCAAAAAAAATCCAATAGGAGGGATCAGGGTCGGCTTGGTAAGACATCAGAAGGGTTGCGGAAGGCTTTTAGAAGGGTTCCTACTGAATTATTCTCAAGATATTTTTTTTTGGCCGCGCAACTTGGCACCATTAAGGGCCCCCAAACGATTCAGGGCTCCAAAAAACTTTTTCCCGAAAGGGAAATAGATTTGGGTATAAGGTTAAGCCCCCTAGAGAGGTGTTGAATAATTTCGGTGAAGCTGCACACAATTAAGGCCCCCGCACTTATCGGGACCCAACATAGGTCATGTTTAAGAGCACAAGCTTCCCTGCAGAATGCTTCATGCTAGTGGCGCTGCAGGGTTGCCACCGTTTGCTCCAAACCCTAGGCACGCGAGCTGTACAAACCTGTGGAGCAAAAGGCTGGGAGTTTGGCGAAAATCGAGATGCGGTAGCAGTGAAGCAAGCCGAAAAAAAGAAGCAGCTTCACCCAAATCAGCTTAACCGCTTCGGCAGGTCCAAGCTGCGGGGAGCTACTCCAGCTTCCATGACCTGGCCCTTGATTGGGACTGCGTGCATCTGATTGGGTTAAGGAAACTTGTTCGCCGCGTAGGATTGTCAGCCATGCAGGAGGGAGTTGCTTTGGTAATACTTGACCCAGCAAGTTGCTATGGTGTACTGCGGTGTTCAAGGATTTGGAGTCACACCTGGCTCAGCAAATCCAAATGATTTGCAGCTCAAACGTCAACCCAATCTGGCTGTATTTCAACAACCCCTGCAAAGATTCTTACAGGGTTTGCCCATGTTTGCTCATTTCAGACCTTGCCTAAAATCCCTTCCTGAAGTCATCATCCACCACTGCAGCCGCCACGACCGGCACTGCCACTGTTACCGACCTGGCATGCAAGAGTGTGCTCATCATGGGCTTTGCGATTTGCGTTGTTTGCACAGGTCCGGACACTCGATCTCGCCAGCTTTTGTTAGTGTCAACTGTCAGAAGAAGAACCAAGACTCAGCATCACTGTTCTCAGCATGTCGACCAGCGTTATGAAGGATGGATGGCAACAGCATAGGGCCTTTGTCTTGAGGACCGGCTGCGGCAGGCTTACTTGCAGAAGGCGCAGGGTCCAGCCAAGAGCGAGGCAGGGTCGGTTCCTTTTGGGCTTGAAGCCGACGAATGGAAGTTTGAGAAAGCCGAGCTTACCAGCTCCAGTCCCAGGCGGCATGCAGGAAGTAACATACCAGTGAGGTTTTGAGGGAAGGGTGGTCCAGTCGACTTCCAACACTCTGTTGGTCCAGGTGTTTCAGGGTGTTGCGCATCGTGCTGTCAAGAAAATGGAGTGGTTTGCGTATGCATGGCTCCCGCTGCATGTCTTCAAACGGGAACTTTCTGAGTTGTCGAGACCAGAGTCACTGTTGAGCTTTTGAGAATGATCTCCACAAACTTGAGCTTAAAGCTCGTCTTAGGGTCAGAGGTGCGGCGCAGATCTCGGGTTGAGAACGTGAAGTTCATGCTTCAACGCATTGTCTTTACATTCTGGGCTCTACATTAAGGAAAGAGTTTCCTGCAAATTCAGTTGGCTGCAGTTTGAGTTTGGGTCACCGAGGTCTCTTGCCGTCACACACGGCTAACATGTTTTTAGCCAGGTGCTCCTGAGCTACATGTGCTCGCAGTTGCTTCAGAGTGCGCAGAAGATCTGGGAAGATTTGCACATGGCGCTCCGACAGCTCTAGCTCGACCAGCAAATTGACAAGTGTTCCCCTGACTTCTGACCTGTTGGGGCTCACAGCACACCATGACGTCTTCAGTTCTGGCCTGGGATGCAAAGCGTTTCAGAAGCCATCGGGGGAGAGTACGGTAGGGTGAAGTCTCACAAAGGTTCTTTCAAATGCCAAGGTTGGATCTAAACAGAGGGCATCGGTAGAAAAAAGTGTGGAATTCTGTTCTGGAGGGCTTCAGTTGAATTTGCTAGGGCCTTCCTGGCGGCCTAGCAAATTGCTTGGAGCTGAAGCCTTAGGGCTTAGGGCTGAGTTCCTGGCTTACACGCCGGTAGAGAAAAGGTGAAACCAAAGGTGGAATCAAGGTAGCTATAAATTCATGCTTGAAATGAGAATGGTTGAAAAAGGTAGAAAACAGGTGTAAGAAAGGTAGCCAGGAATTCATCACCTTCATTCTCCCTGGATTTCACCTTTTTCTCCACTCACCCAATTCTACCTTTTGTGCTTTTACCTTGATTCCACCTTTATTCCACTTTCGTTCTATTTTTAATCTACCTTTGTTCTACCTTTGCCCCACTGCTTTACAACGCATAGAAAGTATTTCTAGGAAAGCGGAGCTGAAGCCCTAGGGTTCCTGGCTTGTGGACCTGGATTCCACTTCATTCTACCTTTATTTCTACCTTTATTCTACTATTTTTCTACTTTTTTCTAGTTTTAGCCTAGGTGCGAGTAAAAGCTCGAAGTGGACCCAAGTGATTGAAGTTATCACTGGCAGTCAGGACAGTTTTTGCAAACTTTTATCGTGTTTCATTTCACCCCTTTCAGGATGAGGCGATCGTGTTTCTTGGGGTGTAAAGATTGCTTCAGACCAAACATCCAAAAGCCCATGTGCTCAAATCGGCCCAGTTTCCATGGCAACATCGCATCATTGATTCCTATTGCCCGGTAAAGGTTGCAAAGATGTTATGTGTATTTCTTCATGTCACAGGCTCTCCTTGAAAAACTTTACACAATTTGTTCCAAAGAACCGGGTAAACCCGAACAGAAGCTTACTTGCAACCTTCTGCCTGCGAGAGTCTGTCCAGGCTCTCCCCCTCATCTATTCCTACGCCGCCACACGTTATCCTTTGCTCTCCCGCTAAGGCTCTGTATCACCACGAAAGCCTCAGCCAACCTCAGTGGTAGAACATGCACTCCGCCCCTTCCCTTGCACCAAGGCATCTGAGGAGCGGCACCAAGCCGCCAAGAGACAGCTGCAGGATGCGGAAGCGCGCTTCCTGGGCCTCAAGCGCCTGGAAAGGTTCATCTGTGGGGTGATTTAGCGATTTGGGTGTAACCCGCAGGAATTGTAGGGTTGCAGGGTGTGGCGTATATGCGTTTCGCACTGTGCCACGGAAGATGTTACCGTCAGTTGTGGCGGTCTCCAGGCACTTCCTGGGGGTTTCC